GTGGCCCTGCGAGAGCAGCCGCTCGCATACCTGGCATCGCCAAGTACGCCCAGTACCAGGCCTCCTCCTTCCAGGAGTCCCTGCAGGCGACAGGGAGGGCACATGGGGACATGGTGAGGACTTGGGGACACACAGGGGACACGCCAGGTGTGGCCCTGTGACATCAGCTGTTCCCACACCAGCATGTCCCAGTACGCCCAGTACAGGTGTGCTCCTTCCAGGAGTCCCTGCAGGCGACAGGGAGGGCACATGGGGACATGGTGAGGACTTGGGGACACACAGGGGACACGCCAGGTGTGGCCCTGTGACATCAGCTGTTCCCACACCAGCATGTCCCAGTACGCCCAGTACAGGTGTGCTCCTTCCAGGAGTCCCTGCAGGCGACAGGGAGGGCACATGGGGACATGGTGAGGACTTGGGGACACACAGGGGACACGCCAGGTGTGGCCCTGTGACATCAGCTGTTCCCACACCAGCATGTCCCAGTACACCCAGTACCAGGTGTGCTCCTTCCAGGAGTCCCTGCAGGTGACAGAGAGGGGACGACACAGGGACAGGGGACACAGGGACAGTGGACATGGTGGGGACAGCACAGGGGACAGAGGGCTCAGGGACACATGGGGGGTGCAGGGGACTTGTGTCCTTGAGTGTCCCCAAGTGTCCCCTGGTGGCTCTGAGGTGTCCCCAAGGAGCCCCAAAGAGTCCCCAGGGTGTCCCCTGGTGTCCCTTGGTGTCCCTGGGAGTGTGTCCTGGAGCCTCGTGCCCCACGCTCCTTTGTCACCTGGTGTGTTCGCCCCTGCTGGGCTGGGAGACGGCTTGGGGACAGTGGGGGGTGGGGACATCCCTGGGTCACAATGGGGGGACATGTGGGTGACAGTGGAGGGGAGGGGACACCTGTGGGTGCTGCAGGGACACGTGGGTGACAACGGAGGGGGGGGGGTCAGGGGCACTCTGAGGTGACAATGGCAGGGGCTGAGGTGACAATGGCGGGATCAGAGCCACTCTCAGGTGACAGGGTGTGGCCCCCCGGGGCGGGCGGTGCCCCCAGGTGGGTGGCCCCCCCGGGTGACGCGGCTGTCCCCGTGTCCCCGTCCCCGCAGGTGGAAGCCGCAGCTGCAGGAGCTGCTGAAGCTGCCGGCGTTCATGCGCGTGTCCTCCACGGGGAACATGCTGAGCCACGTGGGCCACACCATCCTGGGCATGAACACCGTGCAGCTCTACATGAAGGTGCCCGGCAGCCGCACGCCCGGTGAGCCACGCACCTGGGACACACCTGGGGACACACCTGGGGACACACCTGGGGACACACCTGGGACACACCTGGGGACACACCAGGGGCACCTGGGGACACACCTGGGGACACACCTGGGGCACCTGGGGACACATGGGGAACAGCCACAACACACCTGGGGCACACCT